AGTCGTAACTCCTTTCCTACTGGATCTAATCATGCGAAATTTGAAGTGATTTTCGGCGTCTGACCTCCGTCTTTTTCGCAATGCGTTGTTGAACAGATCCATTTCTCATCTAGCCCTGTTTGCGTCGTTCAGCTGGTGCGATACCTATTTTTCCAAGACTTTTTTGAAAAAAAAACGAAGTAGACAAAAAATATACCAAAAGGTGCACAATAAAAATCTCTTTCTAATAGACAAAACTGTTCCGACGCACATCTCTTTCCGAACAACCTAATATATGTATAGTAAGGATATATGTCGAAAAAAAGCGGAAAGAAACAATGTAATCGTGAATACTGCCTCTTCTTACATGTTTTCATTCAAAGGAGAAGAATATCACTTCTGGACTACGGGTGGCCACCTATCTATACGATGGGAGCAACGAATTACATTTCCTGCCCAAATGCTTCTTGCTTCCTCAGGAAGTCGACAGCTTTCAATAGGTTGCTCCTACTTCTGACATAATCATAATATTATACATTCTACCAATTATCGAAGCTGTGGAATTTTGTTATCCGAAAATCCACCTTCTGTCAGTATGACCTTCACCTTCTATGTATAAGCATACAATTGACGACCTATCCGCCCTAAATCCCCTATTAGACTGAAGATTTCACATAGTAAAGTTGAAATATCGTTATATCGGTGCATCACCGGCCGTCCCACTTGTAAAAGTGGTCTATCTGTAGAGGTGCAGGTTGCACTAATTCGTTACTTGTAATTCAGGTTGACGGATTCAGCGTTTAGGCATATGCTATCGAGCTTCAAAACCATTTCCCGAGGTTTCCACTGCTTAGGCTCAATTTCACCCTTTTCATTGGCTTCATTCAATTTAATTGGCTACAACCCAAAGATAGACTGAATACATACTAGCCTTATGTTGTGCAAGGCCAATCCAAATCGAACAAAGAGGTTTCCAATTCTGAAGCAATGAGTTCATTCGTTGAGAACACCTAATGGAATCATCGGTCAACAACACATTCCATTTTTCAAGAATGAGACGTCGTTGTTCTTTTTGTGATTTCTTTAAGTTAAAGGTCACCGTGATGGACTGTCGCGACGGTTCTGACATCGCCATTTCTGTTGGAGTATACGGATACACAACGGTCTCCGCTCTTTATATTACGCCTTTATGCGGCTGTGAATGTGAAAAACCTAACCAACAGGTTCATTTTTTTTGTTGAGTTTCATTTTTCTTCTTACCATATTTGCCTTTTTTCAGGAAAAGAATTCGCCACTGTGTCATCAACATGGCAATCTGATCTGTGGTCAATGTGTCTGTGAATCGACTCGAGGAGGTGATCGATGTGAATGTCCACTTGCAAGTTATGGCGTGAAAAATGCGCTCGAATTAGAGGACCGATGTCGAGAGTAGGCTGCTTTCTATCTTGACGCCATTTCAGACGAACTTTCAAAAAAAAAAACCTGGCAATACGAGCTTCTTTTCAGAAAGCCCGGCGTTCCTGTTTGCTCTGGTCGAGGTCTATGCAGATGTGGGCAATGTCAGTGCAACTTGCAAACGGTAAAGGAGCCTAGTTTTTGTTATACTCGAGAAAAAAGACCATTCTGCCATTGAATTTATGGTACCGTGTAATATGTTCCTCCTCGAAGATTGAAATTCTACCCAAACCTCGCTCACTGATTCCTACCTGAGCGATTCCCAGTGGGATAAACCGATTATAGTCGTTTGGATTGGCCATGGTCCTGTCCTTTCCTGAAATACCCAGGTGGAAAATTGTCTTATAGGGTCTTGCTGTGAAAGAGCTACTCACTCTACAACACTAATTTTCTGTAATTTATGTACGCTTTTGAAAGAAGCAAAAACTTCTATTACAGTTNCAGGGTACTACTCATTTTGGTTCTCATTGCCTCAGCGTAAAGAATCAGGGCAGTACCCCTACCAGTCATAAGCTCCTTTGAGGTCCACCTTTAATCTGTACCCCTCGCGGGCTTTCAAAATACCGAACAAGCCAGAAGACAGTCAAGTGGTCGTCGCCCCTTTATTTTCATCGCCTTAGTAAGCAGAAATATAGAGACGTTATCAGCACTGTTTCAAAACTCACTTCGTAACTACACCACTTTGCATAATCATTGAGTCATCCATGAATTTCACCAAAAATCATGTTCCAAAGAACTTCAGGAAAAGGCTTAATATGGAAATCGTGCTCTACTTGGACCGTAACTTGTAGCCCAACAACGAGTTCCACCTCAATAACAATGACAATTTTCCCTTCATTTTTTCGGAAAAGGTCACTTTGTCTATTTTGCAGGATGGTAAAGCCACTGACCGAATCAGTTTATTCAGCAGCTAAATGATGACAAAGAGAGGACGTTGCACTGTTGGTAATCATTGAGCCATTATTCCCTCGAATTATCTCAAAAATACGATTGTCTGAGCTAATGTAAAGGCTATCAATGAGTTCCTGGTCAAGTTGGTGCCCCAACTATTGACGATTGCTTTCTTCAGCTCACTGATACCTCCAACTGCTTGTTTCCTTCATGTATCTTCTTTATCATGGACATACATTCTCCATTAGATTCAAGTCCAGGATGTTGCCATCCAGGGCAAAAGGTCGATTTGTTGCCAACCAAACCGGGTCTGAGTGCCCCAGTTGACGTGAACCGGGGCATTATCCTGCACGAATACGAGCTTCTGCTGTCGATTCTGACACAAAAGGGAAGAAGAGCACGTCACATTACGACTCGACATCCGAAGATATTCTTTGGGAAAAAACAAATGAAAACGTCAAGGAGAAGGAGCCCCTCCCATACCATGACGACTCCTCCGCTGAAATTTCGTTCGGAAAAGTGGGGCTTATCCTTTCTTAGATCGTGGCAGTAGAATCAACTACCATCTGGGGCATCACAGTTAAACTTTTTCATCGAGAAAGAAAACAACCTGGAGAACGAAACATCAAGAGAAAGAAGAGCAACCCATGAAACCTTACTCCAATCGGTGCGGATGCAGTTCCTGGCTAAAGCGACCCGGCTATTAATCATAAAGAGTGCCTTCCTCATTTCCATAAGCGATAAGCTCAGACTTTTTTATCACGTTCCAAACTGTAGTCATTGGGGCATTGAGCTTCGAAGAGGACTTGATTTCCGTACATGACCTCGTCATAATCGACGCTTCTCTCGAAGTTGTTTGCTTATATCCTTCCAAAAGTAACGAAAGACGCCCTGTACTCCTTTTGGTTCCACACTTGTTGAGATTCCCGACGAAATTGCCGACAAAGGAGTGGCGTCGGCCCCAATCTCGAGCGATTTTGCAATTTGACAGTACCTGTTCCTCTTTTGCAGGAATCCGACCTTTCTCAGAATCGGATAGCAATTTTTTTGCCCACTACCTGAAAATGGAAAACTTGGCACAAATTAAGCAATTATTTGAGGTGAAAATGAAAAATTAGGTAAAAATAAGTGGTAGCTTTATCATTTTGCAATGTAGGCAAAGTGACATTTTCCGAAAAAAATGTGGAGCAAAAATTATCCATGTTATTGAGATGGAGCTTGTTGTTGGTCCAGAAATTACTGCCGAGGAAGGCACAATTTCCATGTTAGTGCTTTTTCTGAAGTGCTGTGGAACGTTTGTTGAAATCCATGGGTGGCTCTATGATTATGAAAAACAGTGTATATATTCTCACATGCTTTTAAAGCCTCAACATTTTCAACACATATGAATTTAGTGAAACTTCTAGCTATTACTGAGCAAATCGAAGGCGTACATATAGCCAAAACTAAGTGGTAGTTCTTTCTCGAACCTCATAACAAAATTGGATAGGCTTGCTCATGCAAGGCTTCCACAACTGAGCAAACAGATGGGGCACTTATTTTGTCTCACTGTCTCGAACTTCCCTTCTTTTATTTATTGCTGAACTTCCATTTCTCATCGACATGCAACGACCTCTATAAATCCGACACTCACTCTCACACCGAAGAACTTTGACCACAAAGAGGCGTGAATGGTGTAACATATAGGGTTTCTTTTCTGCCACAGCATAGTTTTTCTCAAATTACAGTGGAAATGTCGCCTTGACACTTCGAGGCCACAGACAGGCGATGGGCTTCCTTTCGCTATACGAAAATAGCCCCAAAACACTAGTGAGAAACGGGAGAGCAAGTTTTTTCCCAGCTGCAATCTGCCACAGGTCCCTATTCAGTGAAGAGAGATGTGGGACGTTAGTCTCGACTGACATAACTTCGCATCGAGGTGCGAAGTGACCTCAATCGTAACCAACCTCATCTCAATTACGCGCCTCCTCCTGATCGTAACTAACCCCATCTTACTTATGAGAGTTATGGCGAATGATGAGAAAATGAAACTTCAAGAAAATCAGTTTTTCAACGTAAAACTTCCATGGTCTTTGGTTCAAAAAGTTTTATTACCATGCAAGATGATAGAAATTTCAACAAAAAAATCCAATGAAATGTAAAGAATAGTTTTCTAATTTTTCTAATAGGAATTAGCTTAAAGATAATAATTGAACAGTTCAGATGGTCTTGTTCGTAACTAATGTGGACATCTTTATGCAAGTAATACGG